ACTCCTTCCATCCCTCATAGATCTTCTCATTAACTCTTTTTATTTGTCCACCAAAGATCTTCTCATTACTTTTTTTAACAATTAAAATACATATCACAACTATCCCCACTTACTTTATTTATTACACATCATCTACCTCATTTAATACACTCCACCCATTTTTATTAAGGGTATTATGGTAAACTTTCACATTTTTTCAACTCTCCCTAAAAACCATAAAAAGTCAAAATGAGAAAATCTTAAGGGGACGAAGGGAGTAATTCTAAATCCAAAAATAGAAAGTGTTCTTTACCCCCCCTATACGTATATATGGTAAATAAATTGGTATGTTTAAATAATTCTAAGAACTTTATTCATTAACTGTCTCAGTTCGCTTTGCTGTCAAATGCTAGAATAATTATTTTTAAAAATATATAATGAATTAAAATATTAAAAATTAGACTATAATCTCAAAATAAAAAATATGTTTGATAAAAAATTTCATTGGTCAAACATATCATTCGAAAAATGAATCGGGTGTTAAAAACAATAGAGTTACTAATTCTTAAGATTAACTGCATGAAACTAAAAAGACAAATAATTTAGTCACTATGTTCAATCAATAAAAAATAAAATAAAATAATGTCAAATCAGTACTCTGTATGTTGATTAAAATTACCAACTCATTAAAATAATAAATAGACAACAGATGATTTATTTAAAATGTCATATTAGCTCGTGACATGCAAATATCATGTAAGCCAGAGTCTCAAATTTTATAATAAAAGGAAGGATTAGCCAATAAATATCATTAGCAATTAATTAAAAGTTTTTTATAATTAACATTTATAACCTCCTAATTATAATTACTTTACATATACCTCGTAAAAGTTTTTCATATGTGCAATAATTGGGAATGAATATTTGCTCTAATGAGATGTTTTCATATTTTAAGTTAAAATTGTCAATTCACTTAAGTCATCAAATGTGGCTGATGATGTGTAAAAAAATTTGCCAAGTAGGCTGCCACATGTCAAATTTCTGGGAGTTTAACTCCCAAATATTATATATAAAGGATTGCAAATAATTAAGAACATTCCATTTCAAAAATTTCAGAGCAGGAAACCTTGTATTACTCCCTCCGCTAGTAATTACGAGTATGGTAATTTACCTATGTAAGACTAAAACATAATGACTTTCTCAATATTGGATTATATGTTTTTATTTCCAATGTAAGACCATTGGTCATTATCTGTTAGTCATTATTCTACGAAATGTCCAGCATCACTTGGACATTATTTTTCTCACTGGTCATGTATTATTCAGTCCTATTTAGAAAATAAAAAAGTTTAAGTCCTACATTAGGAAATGACTTATGTTTTAGTCCTATTCAGTGCAACTTTCAATTAAAGTATGAGTAAATTACATATATAGGACAAAAACATAGTAGTTTTCCCCATATAGGACCAATCCTATTTAGTAAACGTTTGGGTATGTGAATGGACTAGATTAGCCTCAGCTTCCACCGCATAAGGCCATCTCCAATGGGATGTTCAAAAGAGATGCTAGGAGGAGAGAGAGTGAGATGTTGATGGATGCTACTATTGTAGATGGATGCCCAATAAAGATGTTCAAAGAGAAAAATGAAAGAAAGATGCTTGGCCTAGCACCCAATGCTTGAGGATGGAAGAATTGAGGCATTTTTTTTAAGTATTGTGGTCCAATAATTTGATCAGCACAAAAAACCCATGCCATGTGCGAACAAAAAAATAGCCGTTTTCCAAGCTTTTTTTAATGAATATCTCCTTTACATTTAATACTCATTAAATGATCATACTTTTTTAGAAATGACGTCAGTTTCTTTGAGCATTTTTTCCTACATACGAGTACTTTTTTTACATACTTTAATTTCTTTAGGTTGGAATTTTTATACAAATAAAGTATTACTCCCTCCGTCCGGAATTAAACTTCCCAATTTGACTTTTCCTTATTTTTAGTGGATGTTGATTATATGTGTAATTTGTCCAAAATGCCCCTTGACTTCATGTCTCACGCCATAGTCCAGCCGCCCACCACCCCTTGCTCGCCGACCTTTGACAGCCCCCACCACCGTCCACCACCACTTGCCCCACCTTCGCCTCTGCCCTATGGCCGCCACCGTCAACCCCTCCTCCTTCGCCGTCATCTACGTCGCCTGCCCCAAAATCTTAGATCTAAAAATATTAAAACAAGAAAGAAGAAGAAATATCTCAACCTTACCGTCGCCATGTCTGAGAATAAAAGAAAAGGGAGGAGAAAGAATAAGGTGGGGACAGGAGGAGAAAAAATAAGAAGAAGATACATGAAGAGATTAACCACCGGAGATCTCACAGATCTGAGAGACAAAGAATCAAGAGAAAGAAGAAGATGATGAAAAAGAAGAAGAAGAAAGGAGTACCTAGATCCAATCGGGAGAAAAAGGACAAGAAATGAGAGAGAGAGAGAAGATGAAGAAGACTTACGATGAAGAGGAAGGATGAAGATTGGGAGAAAATGGAAAAGTACGGAGTAGATAAGAAGAAAGGAGTGGTTGAGAGAGAGAGAGAGAGTGAGTAAGTGATAGGTGGCGATAGTAAATGAGGGGTATTTTTGGAAGAGTGTTGATAAAAACGTAGAGTGGGAAGTTTATTTCCGGACGGAAAAAAACGTAGAGTGGGAAGATTATTTCCGGACGGAGGGAGTATAAATTTTAAACATAGTTAATGACCTGGTACAAAAAAAACATAGTTATACTCTACCTTTAATATTATTCGTCATTATAAATTTATAATAGAATTTTATAAATTCTTTCTATCTTATTTAGGTAAATTATCTTTATTCTTAGTGAAATTTGCATTGAATAAAACTAAAACATAAGTCATTTTCCAATGTAAGACTTAAACTTTTTTATTTCTTAATAATGACTAGTGAGAAGAATAATGTCCAAGTGATGTTAGACATTTCGTTGAATAATGACTAATAGATAATGACCAATTGTCCTACATTAGAAAATAAAAATATATGGTCCTCTATTGAGAAAGTCATTATGTTTTAGTCTTATTTAAGTAAATTACCTTTGCATTGAATATGACTAAAATATAAGTCATTTTCCAATGTAAGACTTAAACTTTTTTATTCTCTAAATATAAGACTTAATAATGACTAGTGAGAAGAATAATGTCCAAGTGATGCTGGACATTTAGTTGAATAATGACTAATAGATAATGACCAATGGTCATACATTGGGAAATAAAAACATATAGTCCTCTATTGAGAAAGTAATCATGTTTTAGTCCTATTTAAGTAAATTACCCTTTTTCTTATGTATATCTTTTGGAATTTTTAGTCCATTTGATAACTAATATTTATTTACAGCATAGAAAAATTTAAGAATATATATATTTTCTTCAAAAAAATCTTTAAAAATTTATAATAAATCTTAAGAAACCTTATATCTTTAGTATAACTGATTTGATATCATTGACTTCTATTAAGTTATTTTGGTTTAATTTCCGTTATATTTTAACTTAAGATTTCTTATTTAATGTCCTTTCACCAACTATTTTAGACATTATACATTTGATATATTTTTAATTATTCTCTACTGGGAATGTATTTACTATTAATTACTTAAGAATTGATTATTATTTCTAGTGTACTAAAATACCCTTTCTATGATTTTGTACTTTATGTCCCATCATGTGGACATTAAATTGCCACGGTCTCTCCAGAATGAATATATGGACATTAAAGAAATATACTCTTTCCGTCCCGGAGTATTCGTTCATTTTGACTTTTGAAACTGTTCATCTAAGTACTTTGACTCATCAAATTCTCTCAATGTGTAAGCTTAAATATAGTCATGTGTGATTTTGTTTGATTTGTCTTAACATATACTCCGTAGATTATTAATATATAATTTCTATAATTTTTTAATATACAAATTACAAGATAAAATGGATTAAAGAAGTGTATTGGATGGTGTGTAAAAATGAAAGTGGACAAATACTCTGAGACGGAGGTAGTACTTTGGAGAACTATATTAAGGAAAGAGAGTTTGGAAGGGGAAATGGAGTAAACACGAGTAACGTGCAGAAGTAAATGGAAGGGGAAATGGAGTAATCATTACCTAAAAAATAGGAGAAGTTATTGATAATTATCTTCTAAATATGATAATAGAATCCTAATTAAAATAAGAAGCTTTGGAATACTCACGTGTTGGTTGAGGCCTGAGGGTAAATATGGATACACGCATGAAATTTACTCCTAAATCAAGAAAAAAACAATAATTGTCCTATTTTGGGAAAACACATATCTTTTAGTCCTAATTGGAACAAATTTTACTTAAAGTATTCCTCTACCTCTAACCCCGTTAGTAATTATTAAGATTACACTATAATTTCCTTTAAAAAAAGATTACACTAAAATTTAAAAAAAAAAGTATAGAGAGAATAGTCATCAATTGGTTCACATACACCCTCCGGCCTCCGTACGTCGTCCTCCATATTACTCCGTAACAAATATGCCCTTCCTCTTCGGCTTTCCCTGCTTTTATATACGGAGTATATTTATACTCCCTCCGTCCAAAATTAAACTTTACATTACGCGTTGCGATGTTTGATTGAAGTTATTTTCAAATCATTTTATATAAAAAATGGTGTAAAATTAAAAAATAAAAATTACATATTAAAAAACTATATCAAAAGATCTACAAAACTAGAGGTGACATGACCATATTATTTTATCAAATGGGTGACGAAAATAGGCCAACAAAGTAAATAAAGTTTGACCCTGTGAATAGTGAACGTAAAGTTTATTTGTGGACGGATGGAGTATATATATAGACACACACAGGCAGAGTATGTACTCTGACAAAAAAAACAGAAAGAATCACAGCAAAGGCAAGCTAAGCTAGGTTATAATAATGAGGGCAAGGGCATATGTGTATGTGCCAACAATATTTCTAGGCATTGCCGTGTGGGTAGCCTACGGCATTTGGCTAGGGACAGGCAGTCCTTGGGTGAGTTGTGTCGACCTGGGCGACCTCAAAGGCTGGACTTTCCTGGTTGGCGTTTTTATGGTAATATCTGGCGTGGCTTCACTGGTAGTTTGCTGCTGCATGGCTTGTGATGATACCAGCAGGGAAACCACCTCATCACAGCACGATAACTGCCTTAATTATTTTGCTGGAGTGTACCTTTGCTTTGGGATTGTTTGGGACATCTTTGGTCTTTGTGTTGCCATTAGCGTGTTTGTGGACACCGTGTATTCGGGCTCTCCGCACCCGGCACTCGGTCGGGCTTACCCCGAATACCGTTTTGACCACTTTAGGCCTGCGCTTCGCCGTAAGGTTAGCGACACCTATAAGTGGGGTACCATCATTACTTGCCTCACTCCTTCCGATGCCTGCCTTGCCTTGAACAAGGCTTACCCCACGTCTCACCAACTCTTCAATGCACCACTCAATCCATTGCAGGTTTTTATTCACAACTTTCTCGCGCTCTCTCTCTCATATCTTTCCTTCTTGTTTGATTGATTTCTTATGGTGTCCAATACAATATTTTCATCATTAATATTTATATTCACGTACTTTTGTGCTATCAAGCAATAGAAATACTACGTATTAGAAATTGCAATCCCCTATTCTAATTCCATGACATGAATTTCGTACGTATACCAAACGGAGCCTGAATCAATGCTTGTTACGTTGCAGTCTGGATGTTGCATGCCACCCGCAGAATGTGAATTCAATTTTGCAAGCCCCACGAATTGGACTTCTCCAACAAACAATTACACAAGCGTTGATTGTGCGGTTTGGAGCAATGACATAACAAAATTATGCTACTCTTGTAATTCGTGCAAAGCGGGATCACTTGCAAAGATAAGGAAGAATCTCATCAAAACAAATATAGTTTTGTTTGTTATGGCTGTGGTGTCCTTTATACTTCATGTGTTTAGCTGTTTTCTTCTTTTAGCAAAAGATGTGAACCGTTCTTAAGATATGGAGCAACACATAGGCGGGAGAAGACTGATCAACTATGCATGTACGACTATACGTAACATTTTTAATTTCCTTTTAATAGTATTTTCAAAATACTCCATCACTCCTCAATTTGATTACAAATTGGAGTTTACGATGAGAAATATCTCAATTTTCTAAATCCTTTTATTTACAAATCAGTATATTTATAAGAAATAAAAACTACATATTTAAAAAATATGTCAAAAGTTCTACAAAACAAGAGGTGGCATGAATATTTTAATTTATTAAATATACTTAATGAAATCGCGTATACAAACAAAAGTTATCGAGAGCAAAGGAAAAAATTGTAATCAAATTGGGGACGGAGGAAGTATTGTTTTATCTCATCAATCTACTCCCTCCGTTCCATAAAACACTTTCCCTTTCGTTTTTTTCCAATTCTCTAAAACACTTTCACTTTCTATTAAAAACCACTTCTATCCCTACTTTTTTCCTACCCTACCTATCACATCATACTTTTTCACTAATAACCAAACTATCACATCTTACTTTTACCCATCACATCAGGGGCAAAATTGGAAAGTCAACCAAAATTACACTTCCCTTATTTTGGCCCAAAGTCAAAATGGGAATGGTTTTAAGGAACGGAGGAAGTACTTTATAAATTTTACTCCCTCCGTTCTCAAAAACTTTTCCTCTTTCATTTTTTAACTTCTAACAAAACACTTCCATTTTCTATTAAAAAACACTTTTTACCCTTACTTTTTCATACGCTACCTATCACATCATACTTTTTCTCTAATACTCAATTTATCACATCTTACTTTTACCCATCACATCAAGGGTAAAATTGGAAGTCAACTACAATTTAACACTTTCTTATTTTACACAAAGTCAAAATAGGAACACTTTTATAGAACGGAGGGAGTATTTATTTATGTGTCAAGGTTGAAAAGATTCCTACTCCCTCCATCCCAAAAACTCATTCATCTTTCTTTTTTTCTTGTCTCACAAATTTATTCTCTTTTTTTAATTAAAAAAAGACTTTTACCTATACTAATTCTTAACGAAACTATCACATCATATCTTTTTACTTATAATTTTTTTATCACATCTTACTTTAATTCATCATATCAAGGATATTTTTGGAAAGTCAACACAAAAATATCACTCTCTTAAATTTCTTAAAAATCAAAATGAAAATATCTTTATGGGAGGTAGAAAGTACAAAAAAAGTAAAAATAAATAAATACTCTGGTGGGAAAGTAGAAAAAAGTCTATGGCTTAATATTTCGAAAAACTAGATTGGTCTTCGAACATGATGAGTTTTGGAGGATCAAACTGGCTTTGTATTGGGTACTTGCAATATTCCCGTAGTACATCAATGCATTATACAAGGAAAAAAAGTAGTAAAAGACTAAAAGGAAATGTGAAATTTGCAGTGAATAGGACTAAAACATACTACCTCTGTCCCAAAAAGATTTACACGTTTTGACTAAAGTTGAAATTAAGAGAGGGATAATTTTGTGTTGACTTTCCTAAAATATCCTTGATGTGATGGGTAAAAGTAGGATGTGATGTGTATATTATTAGGAAAAAAGTATGATGTGATAGGTAGGGTTTGAAAAAGTAAGGGGTAAAAGTGGTTTTTTAATAGAAATGGGTAGGAGATTGTGGGACGCAAATTTTTTGAAAGGTGTAAATCTTTTTGGGACGGAGAGAGTAAGTCATTTCTTAATGTAAGACTTAAGTTTTTTTATTTCTTAAATATGACTTAATAATGTCTAGTGGGAAGAATAATGTCCAAGTGATGCTGGACATTTAGTTGAATAATGACTAATAGATAATGATCAATGGTCCTACATTGAAAAATAAAAATATATGGTCTTATATTGAGAAAGTCATTACTTCATCCGTTTGCAAAAAGACTTCCCATTTTGATTTGGGGCAAAAATAAGGAAATGTTAAATTATACGGAGTAGCTGATTTCCAATTTTGCCCCTGATGTGATAGGTAAAAGTAAGATGTGATGGATAGATTATTAGAGAAAAAGTATGAGGTGATAGGTAGGGTATGAAAAAGTAAGGGTAAAAGTGGTTTTTTAATAGAAAGGAGAAGTGTTTTGTTGGAAGTAGAAAAACTGAAAAAGGAAGTGTTTTTGAGAACGGAGGGAGTATGTTTTAGTCCTATTTAGGTAAATTACTCAAAAGAAATACGCCTTTCCTCCGTGATTATTTGTTAGTGTTTTATATTTCCTATTAAAATTGGTAAATTTTGACCACAAATTAAATAAAACTGATATTATATATTAATATACAACTAATTTTATTAGATTCACTTAATAAAATGTTTTCAAAATATTATTTTATCTAATTAGTATACAAGCGGGAACTCTCTTGATATGTAATGCTCTGAAATATACCCTAGAATTTTATAACAAATTTTTAATAAATCCTAATTCTAGTTTTTATTTAAATTAAATAAACGTCAAAACAAAAATACTAAAATAAGATATTTTAAAAGAATCTTTTTATCTTCAAGATTATACTCAAATTGAAGGCCTTGATGGAACGAGTTTAAGGACATGTCCCGCGTGCAAATCAGGGTTACGAAGATTAGGGGTTTGACCGTCCGAGACTAGAAAGATTATAAGGAAAACGAATAAAATAAAAATATTAAACATATTATAATCTAATGAAATTTGGGTTTTCGATAGGTCTCGAGAAAAAGTGACCAACGACATAGTATAATTTTTTGAGTTTTGACTTACATGTAAAAAGTTATAAGTGAAATAAACAATACACTTCAATACTTAAAAGAAAGAATTTTTAGAATAAAATAATATGATAAATGTGCCTTAAAATTTAAGTGTGACTATTGACTAAATTAAGGAAAAATATAATATAAACTTAGTTGTTTGCTGATTACAGTATTTAAAAGATAAAATGAAATGGAAGAAAACAGAGCTTGGTTTGACAACGATTATGTCTATTACTTGATGACTATTAATTATATTGGCCAAGTAAATTGAATTTAGACTCTTAACTAACATATTGGTCAAAATATTGTACGAAAATTTTGAATTTAATAGTGTAAGTTTTATATATCTCAAAAATATTTGAAATCCGAAATTGTAGAATTTGAACGTATAAGGATGAGCAAGAGACTAAATAACTCTTCATCTTCCCCTCTCCTCCAATTTGCATGTCACCCCATCATTATGATGGTTATAATATCAACAACAACAACAATAATAATAATTACATATGTAATATATATCACCATCATATTAAAATATTATTAAATAATCATATATATTATGAAATGACTTAAAACTTAATTATAAAAGACAAAAAGAACTCATATATAAATGAGCTCTCTAATATTTTATTCTACTACTTTATCCTACCCTCTATAAGAAAATACCATACATTTTTATTCATTTTGCACAACTCATATATATTCATTTTTAGTTTCAATTTTATAAGATGTTTAATTTGTACTCCCTCCGTTTGCAAAAAGACTTCCCATTTTGATTTGGGGGCAAAAATAAGAAAGTGTTAAATTATAGTTGATTTCCAATTTTGTCCCTGATGTGATGGATAAAAGTAAGATGTGATGGATAGATTATTAGAGAAAAAGTATGATGTGATAGATAGGGTATGAAAAAATAAGGGTAAAAGTAGTTTTTTAATAGAAAGGGGAAGTGTTTTGTTGGAAGTGGAAAAAATGAAAGAGGAAATATTTTTGAGAACGGAGGGAGTATATATAATATATTTTATGCGATGGTATACGAGGCCGTGCGAAGCAGAAGAAAAAACTAGTATTCTACTTCGTATATATTACTACTGCTTTTAATTAAAAAGGAAAGAAGAAATTAAATATCCAAGACGGAAAAAAGAAGAAAAATAATACGGGGCACTTCCTGTGTTTTTTTTTTGAATTCTCTGCATGACTTTTTCATAGAATGACAACAAATGAATGTGGACATTGTCAATGTCCAGTATTCAATCATTTTCCAAAATATATACTAGCATCAAAAAAAAATTTAATCACTGAAATGAATAAAAAACAGAATACTCGTTATGCTAGATACCTAATACGGAGTAATAAATTTAAAGAAGTGAAATTTGTATGAAATAGTAATGAAAGATATATCATTTTCTAATATAGTACTTAAAGTTTTTAATTCCTTAAATAGTACTTGAGTAATGTCTAGTGGTGGGAACAATGTCCAGTAATGGTGGACATTTAGTTTGAACATTCTTCAGTGGAGCTGGACATTTTCTTGAACAGTGACAGTGGCATTACAATGAAAAATAAAAATATATAGTGCTAAATTGGAAAAGTCACTAGGTTTTATTGCTATTTCGGTAAATTCCGATCCCAGAAGTGAATACTAAGTCTTGTATCATCCCTTTATTTAAAAAAATTGTTTCACCTCTGTTTTATTTTTTTTCTATATTCTCAAAATATTTCTATCTCACCCAAAGCATCTAAAATACCCTCAAAACTATTTTTACCCCCAATAAAGAACAAATAGGGTATACTACTTTTTGCATTTTGGATTGAAATATAAATATTTTAGTTTGTGTGATGCACAAAAAATGAAGGTGAAACAAAAGGAATATTACATACTCCCTCCGTTCCACAAAACCCTTCTTCTTTCGTTTTTTTTTTACTTTCCACAAAACACTTCCACTTTCTATTAAAAAACCACTTTTACCCCTACTTTTTCATACCCTACCTATCACATCATACTTTTTTACTAATAACCAAACTATCATATCTTACTTTTTTCCATCACATCAGGGGCAAAATTGGAAAATCAACCAAAATTATACTTTCCTTATTATTCTCCAAAGTCAAAACCGGAAGGGTTTTGTGGAACAGATGGAGTAGAATATAACAGAAGAAAAGAGAGGGAGCTCCCTTCAGTCCAAGCATGGGAAGCTTAGGATCTAACTTGTCTCCCGCATCATTCACTCAGTTACCGAGATCGGTCGGTCGCACACACCTATAGGAAGCATATATAATTGATTATGTATATATATGATTGATTATGTATGTATATATGATCTCAGCATTTGGATGAATGAGTCGGAAGCAAATTGAATCCTACTGCGACCCAACCCATGTGTGGACTGAAGAAAGCTCCCTCCTCTCAATTCATACATGTTTATTATGTATGGTTTCTGGATTTCATGATCCAATACAATATTGGTGA